ATACCTGATGGGCTAATCTTGCATTTGCCCACAGTCTCTGGGTTTTTATAAGGTGGCTTGGCCCAGGGACCACTTAGTGTAAGTGTTGGGCCCATTAGGAGTCCATGTGATGGGCTTCAGGGGGTTCACTGTCTTTTCAGTGAATTCGGCCAGGCCTTGTAACAGAGGCTAGGCTGAACCCATGTGGTTGATGTGTAGATCAATGTTTGGGTCCCACTCCATACAAAGAATCCCAACTAGGCAGTAGTTTGAAAGGTTAATGAGCACATAGACTTATTGGGCCTAAAGCCCATTTCGAACTGGTTTAGTTAGACTGATTAAAGAGGGGCGGATCTGGAAATGGATCAGTAGATAGGATAGGGAGTTATCCATATCCACTCAGAGAGTCCAGATCTGAATTTGGATTTGGAAACCTCCTAATGAGATTAGGAGAGAGCTGATCTAATCTGCAGATAAGATAATGATTTATCTTTATCACTTAAAAAGAGTCCAGATAGGAAACTCCTAATGAGATTAGAAGCTGATCTCTTTAAAAGGAGGAGGGGGCGAACCATTCAGTTCATCCTACCATCCCAGCATCTCAGAGATCAGATCTCAGATCACCCAGAGAGAAGATAGCAACAGTGTGACTGCGCCATCTTCTCCCTGCGTTCTCCTCTAGTTGCCGCCTACTGCCAGTTCGATCTCTAGTTTTGTAGGAGCAATCAAGAATAGTTCTTGATATCAGTCTTTGGAGAAAGGCTGATCTGAAGTCGTGCTCATAGCCTCCATCGAATTCTTGCTGAAGGATTCGGTTCTTGGGAAGAACACTACTGATTCTGCTCCACCCTACACTGTGTCATCTTCAGTGGGAGCAATTTTTGGAGACTTCTTTGGGCGTGAACACCTTCATTGGAGGATATTGTTTCTTCATATCAGGTATATCCCTCTCCTACTGTTTTGGTTCAGATCTAGTTCGGTTCTTGGTTCAAGATTGATTCTTGAAAAATACAGTTTTTCTAAAATAGGGAATGTGATTCCCATGGGGAGAGAGAAATTTTTTAAATTTTGCCCAACCTACCTGTAGGGTTCGGCCATCCATATGATGGATCTCTCATCCCTTCAAATTCGATCTCCACCTATGGGTGCGATCAATAAGGGTTCTTGATTTTACCTTTTGGTAGAAAAGGTAATCTAAAGTCGTGCTCACTAGCCCTCCATCAGATTCTTACTGAAGAATTCGGTTCTTGCTGAAGAACCATCCTGCTAATTCTGCTTCATCTTGCACCGTGTCATCTTCGGTGGAAGAAGTTTTTGGATTTTTCTTTGGGCGTGAACATCTTCATTGGAGGTTATTAATACTTCGTATCAGGTATATCCCTCCACTCCCTTTTGGTTTCAGATCCAGTCTGGTTTGGATTCAAGATTGATTCTTGAAAATGTAGTTTTCTAAAATAGAGAATGTGATTCCCACATGGGAAAGAGAATTTTTTGAAATTTCTTCCAACCTTCTTATTGGGTTCGGCCATCCATATGATGGATCTCTCATCCCTTCATTCTCATCATTGGTCTCTTTCATTGCTACTTATGCTTGGTATTATTTATTTATTGGCTTAGTGATCCTTTATCTACTTTCTCAAAATGCATAGCAAATATTAGGATATTTTAGAGATTTAATATTTTGGAGCTTATCCATCTTTAATTCACACCTCTTTTTGTTTCCTTTATTTTTGGGAAGAAAAGTTGTTAATCAATATAGGGTCAGTTCTGATCCATTACTTGGAGAACCTAATAGAGCCAAGGTTGGAACCAATGTTTTCAATCCGTGGTTGAACTGGAAGATCAGACCCACTGACCCATCATTTAGCCAGGTTTCCAAGTCTGTCTAGCCCCCAAACCATTTACTTGCAAAAAAAGGACTCAGTCAACTACCTAGTTACCTGGCCAGTTAAACTGCTGAACCGTTTAGCCCAGTTAATGGGTCACGGGTTAGACATTGATTCTCTTTTTCTGCTTTTTTTTTATATTTTTAACTATTTTGATCAATAATACGATAATTCTCATTGGTCACACTTATTTTTGTATGTAATATTAGTGATATGCCCAATATTTTCTGTAATTTTATTTATTTTTCTGCGTTTGTATATCTTCCTCATCATTATCTAATGGGTTGTTTGATAACAGCAGAAGTTGCTGGACTGAACTACTTATTGCTTTAACTTCTAGTGGATATAATAATTAAATGTTAAAATATTACAAAAATGCCACTGACTACTCATGCTAAAGGGAAATTCAAGTTTCTTTCAAACTGTTTGTCAAATCAGTTGCCTTAAGAAGGCACTCCTTTTGTTTGACATGCTTGGTTGTGTGGTTGGTCTTGTAGGACCCACTGAAGCCCTTTGGGCCCCATTGGGCAAAACTCTAGATTTCTTGTCGTTTCTCTTCCAAGCTACTAGATTATGTGGAGAAGTTTTTCTTGCATGAGGGAATATGGTACTTGGGAACTAATGCATTTATCTATAGGAATAAATTCTACTTGGTTCAGCCTCTGTGATCAATTGTGTAGCAATAATTGATGTCTCATTAGTGTATATTTTGGAATATGATTTCATTATGTGATTCTAATTATCTGCATGCAAGGAGTTGAAAATTAAAGGTTTCACTTTCATTTTGCAAAGTGGCTTATATGGGATGTGTTTGTCAAGTGATTGATATCTTAAGGATGATCATCTTACATCCTGATGGGGCAAGTTTACTTCTTGTGCATGTCCAAGATGAAAATGGTAACTTTTCCATATGCCATCTTTTGCTTTTCATCTGTGGCAAACTGGTTTGGTTGAGAACGGTTCTAGCTAGAATTTCATTTTAGATACATTTAGAGTTGTGTTACTTTATATTGAACTTAATATGTTCTGCTTATAAAACTTGGACTCCAGACAGAATTCTAGCAGATGTAGTAGTATAGTAATGGCATATTTTGTCATTAATCCTATTCCTGAATCCTGATTAATCATGCTGATCTCTTTATTTTTTCTGCTTGTTGTACATCTTAATCTACAAATGCACCGCACTGAGGTTATTTCTTAATTCTTACTCTCTAGACTGGGGTTGTGAATTCAGATTCAACCATTTATTGACAAAAATAACTAATTTTGATATCTTGAGTAGAAACAGATTTTTCATTGAGAATGTTGAATGCATGAACATTCTCACTTAACAGTTATGATTGCAAGAATGGGCCTTCTTTTGGTAGATTAAGGATGATTGGACCCTTGACCTTAACATTCCATTCTTATATTTTCTAGTTAGGTCACAAAAGTCTGGTATGAGATAAGATAAGATATATTCACTTGGTTTGGCCAAGTTTGTAACCCAATGTGCACCAAGCCCCCAAACAAAGTAGTTCTTGACTAGCCCAATTGTCGGAGACCTTGGGCCAGGCCACAGTGTGTTTACACACTGACAACACAACATCCAGCTGTAGTGAATACTCAAATCAAACCTAACTGAATTGGGTTAAATCCAATCCTTTTCAGCTTTATTTGGGCTGGGCTCAGTTTTGTGAATGGAAGTAAAGTTGCAAGTGGACTTGGCTGTTGTAACCTACTGTGCCCCAACCCAAAGTACTTAACTAGCCCAATTGTTAGAATATGGTAAATTATCTATTCAAACATCAGATTCAGGGTTGATTAATCAAAATACAACAAAAAACCAGGTGATGCACACCTAGGTTTTGGTGGCACATCCAAAATTTAAAATAGCAGAAACATCATTCCCTGAGCATTTTCTTATTGATTTTCTCTTGGTGAAGGAACATCATTTTGCACCATCCAAAATTTAAAATAGCAGAAACATCACTTTGCACCATCCATGCCAAGGGAAAATCCCCTTATTGATATTCCCTTAGCATCCCCATGCTCGCCCCATTGTCATTCTTTGAAGGCTCCCAAACACACCTTCCATACCATTGTTTTAAAAACTGTACCAGACTGGATGGTCAAATCATTTGACCCAGGAACTGGTCATGTATCTGGGTCCATTTTTTATTGGACTGCTTTTTCGAAAAAAAAAACTGAATTGGTCAAAAAACCGCTGACCCTGACGGTTGAATTGTTAAACCATTCAACCCAGGCAACAGTTTTTGATTTGAAGAGAGCGGTGAGAACTTGGATCTGAGATGTGATATCAAAGATCAGAGAAAAAGAGAAATAAGATCTCGAATCTCAGATCTGAGAAAGAAGTCATCGTCCCCGTCACTATTGCCGTCACAGGTGAACTTATTCTTCTTTCGTTCCTTTCTTTTTTTTCTTTCTTTCCCTCTTCAAAATGAATAGAAAAACCCTAATATTTCTAATATCAAGTCAAACTGCAAAAACCGTTAGACCCAAATGGTCAAACCACTAACCCAAAAACCAGTGATCAAAGCGGTTCCACTTCTGGATCGCTTTTTAAAACCTTGTTCCAGACAATTTTTAAATTGATTGAAACAGTTTTTAATCTCCCAATTCCCATTATCCCTATCGGTCACTCTGAAAACCGAAATAATATGCCCTATCATAGCGCATTGGAACTTTAAACCTTGATTCCGAATTTAGCAAGGTTGAGCTCCACGTATAGATAAGTCTGCCATTTGCTCATGACAAATATTTGTCCTTCGAATAACCACAAGCCACCTTCCCAGTATGACATTCCAATCCTCGTTGGCTCTCTCTAGTACTATATCACCTTCCAATCCAGTTGTGTTTATCCAGGCTTCAATATTCAGTTATAACTGCTTTCCCTTTTCCTCTGATCGGGTCCAGCTTTGAGTTTTCACTTCTTATCAGAACTTTTTTCTTTTTTGGCAATACTCTGAACTTGGTTATTCCAAAAGACTTGCATCTCATGCTTTCTAGTTCTATTTTCACGCTTCGAACTCCTCTTCTGCAAGAGTCACACGGCTGTTGTTTCCCCTTCAGAAATCATTTTCTGTTTCCATGCACATTGGAATCCATATTGACACGATTATGATAGAAGAGATGAGATTCCTGGAAAAATCCAAGTTTCTTTAACAAACATTATATGCTACAAGCTAGTATAAACCCTATTATTAGTACAAATACAGCCATGCAAGTTCTTTTCGTGCATAGACAATACAGATGCTAATATTTACTATTTAAAAAGCTCTAAGAATCCTATTAGTACAAATACAGCCATGCAAGTTATTTCCATGCATAGCTAATACACATGCTAAATTGCTAATATTTACTATTTCAAGTTTCACACCATGATAGTGAATAGAATGATTTACAGTCAAAATGAGACATGTAGACTGGCATCAACACCGATTTGTTTTCTGATTAGGTTCTTTGATGAAGGCAAACCAGCAACCACATCCTCCTCGATCCCGCATTCATTTGTTCCTCTCCTGATCATGAAGTAACCGTCCTGCCAATATCCAAAAGGGAAAAAAAGGTTTGGGAATTTCTAAGACAATACAAACATTCCTAAATGAAGAAAATTCAGCAAAAACATACATCACCCCAACTTCTGTTCCACTGGTTTGCAAGAAGCTGTAAAACAAAACATAATAACCAAATTTGATCAACTCAATAAAAACTTCTCTCAATAAATAATATGTATAAATTAAGTTACTTAGACTCTATGCATCAATTTCAAAAGGAAAGTTGATAATAAATCACAAACCCAATAATCCTCTCCATCGTCCGTGGTTCCCCACCCAATTAGCTTCACAGCATGCCCTCCCATGACATCACCTGTAATATGCTTGTAAACTCCTGATTTATAATGAGCAAAATCCTGCAAATACCAATTGTACTATTACTATTGAGGAAAGATAATGTAAAAAACGTATAATAATCCATTTAGTGCCATACATCATGAAACATGACTTGGTAAACAAAAACAAGTGTAAAGAAAACAAGAAAATGAGTATTTCTCATGCAGCAATATTATGAAAGAAAGTAGAGAGGAGCATATAAATGAAACACATGACAAACAATACCCAAGAGAGGAAGAAAGTAGAGCAAATCAAATATGACTTCACACAAAGAAAATCAGAAGGAGTTTCTTTTACCTCATAGACAGTGAAGGAGACCTCAACAGGACCATTTTTATAGACTTCTGCCATTATGCTGTAAGGATCAGAACTGATTCTGTATGCGCCGACACTGAAGTGCTTTGACTCTTGCCAAACCTGGTTCGCATCCTTGCACTTCCTCTCACACTTTGGGGTAGGATATGCAGGTTCACAACCAGGATGAGAACAGCCGATTTCATCAAAATAAGGGTCACACTGCCAGATGATAAACCATTAAGACATTTACAGTATCGATGAGTATAACCCATGAAGGAGCTATTGCTTGATGTAATTAGTATAATGGTAAGATCTTGAGCTGACAAGAGTGGTAACAGGTTTGAATCTGAGAGCAGCATAGAACTTGGTGGAAAAAAAAAAAAAAGAAAACCTAAGGTTAGGTTCATATTCAATCAACCCTCCCAAGACCTCACAACAAATAGCTATGTACAGCCAACATTGGGTAATGGCCTCTTTACGAGTATATAACCCATGAGATGAAACTCAAGAACATTACAAAACAAAGTGAGGTAAATGCAATGGACATGAAGATCATGGTTACAGGGAAGATAAGACAAACTCTTTACCTCTTCAGTAACAACACCATCATGAACAAAGTATCGCCATGCAGAGATAGGATATCCCCCATCACACCCATCTCCACACATAAAGCCACAGCATGCCAAGAGATCATTAACAGAAAGCGAAATGTTCTGAAATGAATCATACAAGTAAAAAGATTTATAGATACTATTAACGAAAAAAATATCAAGTTTGACATCATTAATAAGTAGAAGTTACCATGCCAAAATGGATGCAGAATCGATCAGATAGGGATTCCACTGCACCAAAAGCCCAACAAGAACCACAATGCCCCTGCTCCAGTAGATCCATGCCAATTAAAGCAATTTTATATTATCTTTTTTAGATAAGATTAAACAAGTAATAAAAACCAAGTTACCTGATCTTTTATTTGGAAGTATCAAGACATCCAATTATTGGCACATAAAGTGGAAGAAAGTCAGCCTTCTATTTGGAAGAGTTTTAAATTAACAAAGGACAGAGTACAAAACTAACCAAGTATTTTCCCAATGGTGCTACATTGAGGCCAAGCCATTCTTGCATCAAATTGCTTTGGCAAATTCAAAGATTTAGGATGAGTTATAACAGGAATGCCCTCCAAATCATTTTGAGGTGCTGGTTTCACTCCAAGGAGGTGCTTGAATTGCGCAATCTATAAAGCAGAAGAAAGAGTTAAAATATAACGGGAACAAGGCCAAAAATATAACACACGGCACCTTGGGAACTCACAGTGTAATTGGTGAAGCGAGGATTCATGGCAGCTTCCCATCTGGCCTTAGGGTTTGCATTTATGTGCCAAACGATTTCTTCCTGCACAAAATGAGTGATATAGAACAACTGTGTTTTGTTGCAATGAGCACTTGTACAAAAGCTTTTCAGCATGACTTGGGGATGTTATATGAAGAAATAACAGTGTAAATTCAATCATTCATTATTTCAACTCTAACAAGTCCCAGTGTATTGTCAATGAAACCCACCTAACATCAGATCCTAAATTTAAGAAAATCACTGGATTGAGAGCTCTCTTGCAAATGATCTTATTTTCACACATGCTCCTTCTCAAAATTGCTCCGGAACAATATAAAGTCAAGAAGATTTTCTGCCATGGAATAACATACCTGAAGAATCTCAGTTCTAGGCTTTATTGGAAGAATTGGTTTCACCGCAACCACCTACAAATATATATACATTACCAATTAATTCATCATCATCATCTAAGACTTGTCCTTACTATATGGGTTTGGCTACATGAATCCTGTTTTGCCATTCTGTTTTGTTCAGGAGCATAAAAAGACAAATCAGGATCAATGATCAAGAGAGGGACAGAACAATTGCGCTAGAGGCAAAAGATGAAGAAGAGGGACACAACAAAAAGCTTTGAAAACAAGGAAATATCCACAGACTATAACAGAACTCGATTTTATCTATTGAAAACAATTGTCCTAAATGCCTGCATGATCAAGGAATATCCATAAACTATAATAGAACTTGATTTTATCTATTGTTTAGAAGTCCATTTACACTTTTCAATGAGATTTATCAACAATAGAGAGAACCGAGTGACCAGACCTAGTCTCTCAAAGCACACCTTTTAATGAAATTGAGAAAAAAAGAACTTGTAAATGAGGGTTCCCTCATCATAACTGTGAGCATTCATATTTGTAATTTTGTTTTTTCTATCATTTTCTTTCAGTTTCTGTAAAATCAAACATTGTGTAATGATAGATCTATGCGAACTCTGACATTTTCTGAAATCCAATTTCCTAAGGTCACCCTAACATGGGTTAACCATCAATCCATGAATAAAAAGGGAAGAAACCCTAAAGAGTAATCAGTAAATAGTCTCAAAGATTGGCCTACAAATCCTGCAGATTTAAGAGTAGTCTGCCGAGTAGATCACAAAGTTTTTCATTAAAAACAAAAGTCCAACTGATCCTAGGAATTCCTAATTGGTAAAACCCTGTCAGAGTGTTATTTCTAGAACTGACTGCTCTGCTCTCAACATCTATTAAAAGCATCAGACAGATTAGGGTGTTTTGAGCTTTTAGTTTCTACCCATCTGCAGTAATTGCTCGCAGAATGCAGTTATGGTGGGGTTAGCGCAAAACAAACAAAATGGAATCTGCCCAAGGCAAAGTGATCTTGTTGAAATACGATACCTAGATACACATGCCCAGTGTGCTGGTATTGGATACAATACCTGATACTGCATGGATACTAATAGAAATACTCCTAGTGTTCTGAAAATCGTAATCATATCATAAATTGTAGACAAAGTTGGACTGAATAGAATAATGAATCATATGATTATTATTGTTTTTACAAACTTGTCAAAAATATTAAAACTGACATACTAAAAATTCATCCATCCATACCCTATTTTATGAAGCATGCAAATGGAGAATGTATAAAAAATAGAATCAAGATTTTAAAAGAATTAGAATCAACAGTAAAGAAAAAGCAAGGGGAATTAAGAGTCAATGAATACAAACATCCCTCACAGAAATAAGGTAGAGGAACTAAATACAATTCTAATGGAGCAAGATATCCTAGAAGCAATGAAACAAATGAATCCGCATAAAGCACTAGGCCACAAAGGTTTTACTTTCTATATCAAGAATATTGGGACATAGTGGGAGGATGTATGCAAGGCAGTGTGAAATTATTTCAACAATGGTTACGTGTTGCAAGAATTTACACCACCTCTTTGGTCATCATCTTAGTTGTAGAGTACCTGAAAATTCATCTTATTACAAGGTTTAAGTCTAATGTAATTTGATATACAAAAGGCAATTACCCAATGTAGGCCCTAGCTATCTGGGGTCTTGGAAGGAGTAGACTGGGTACAGTCCAAACCTCTGGTATTTTTTGCACAAAGCGACTGCCCTCGGACTTGAACTTGCATTCTCACACATGCCAGCCCAAGATTTTACTATTACACCAAGTAATGGCTCCTGTAATGTGATATATAAAATAATTACAAAGTACATGATGAATAAAATGGCAATTGTTCTTGGAACGTATCATTGCACCAAATCAAGTGGGAACCTTGAAGGGGAGAAAAATAACCAACAGAAAATTGTAACAAGAGAAATATTACACCAATGAAAATAAAAATAAAAAGTAGGGATAGAATGGATAGCAATCAAATTAGACATGTCTAAAGCCTATGAACAAATGGGATGGATTTTTTTAAGGCAAGCCATGCAACGGAAGAGATTTCCTTTTTTAATAGTAAATAGAAGAATATTATTAAGGTGAAAGAAATAAAATACATAGCAGAGAGGGTGATGGGCTAGCACACAAATTTAACATGCCATTACAACATTCACCATCCCAATAGTTTCCAAAATTTAAAAATCAGGCCCATTAATATCCCCAAACTCTGGACGAACCAGTATCTAATCTAAAATTATTTTCCTACATGCACACATGACACATTCCTTGACTTTTCTTGAAAAACCTGTTATTCCTCTACCTTCATATTCCCCATTAAATTGCAAAAGAGATGCAACTCCAAAATATGATAGCCTTCTTGCTGCCATGAATCCTTGGCCATCTAGAGAAAATCTCCTCAACACCATTAGGAGGATGATGTTGAACACCAAATAGAAATGACAATAAAGATGCCAAAATGTGGTTTCTGTCTTGCACTAGTAAACAAATGAGACACATCTTCCTCACTGAAACAGCATAAATTGCATATGCTCACCATGTGGTCCAAGGTTAATATGCAAACCAAGGCCAACAACCACACAAAGGCTTCCACTCTTGGAGGAACAGGCTTCCCCAAATACCTTTGATGTTGAGGATTGAACCCAAATTCTTACAATAGATCGTAGCCGACTTGACTGTAAAGCTCCCATTCTTGCATTCTTTCCACTCTTTCATCCCTATCTGACACAGCTACTTTCACCTGCTCAAGTTTGATTAATAGAGGAATGCATTCATCCACTTCTCTTTCTAGATAAAGTGGTCTTCTAAATCTTGGGCACCGAATCCACTGCTCTCCTCTTAGCTCGTGGTACTCAATTTTTTGAGAACAGAAGTTATACAACCTAAGGGATGTCTCCTCTAGTCTCCCAACACCACTCCAATCACCTTCTCAAAACCTAATTCTAAACCCATCACCAACTTTAAACCTTGTACACTGAAAGCTCGTAAGTCATAATGCCTTTTCATCATACAACCCCCATAAATTGATGATTCCTCTTGTCCCAGTCAAACCTAGCCGCCCCATATTTGCTTGTTATTACCATTCTCTATAACCTTTCTTCTGTACAGCCATTTGATAGCTATACAGCGGTTATTGGATCAGTCCAATACTGCAATCTATTCCTATACTCCACCCCCGACAACAAACAGAGCCCTTATGTTTTCTTCCAGTTTCAACCTATCTTTAATATGAATTAATGCTCCACTCATTTTAGCACTTCTAATCAGACGAGCTTTATTGAATTTTCTAACCCTTCTAAATCCTAGAGATTGGTCTGCAAACCCTTCCCCATTTGGTATGATGATAGTTCTCCCTTACTCCTCTCCCACTCCATAGAAAATTCCTTTGCATCTGGAATCTTCAAAAGATATGTTACCCTAGGGGTGTAAGCAAGTAAATCTAGTCGAGATTGACTCACTGAATACTTGAATTTGATTGGAAAATAATCGAGTTCGAGCTTAATTCGAATAGCTACTCGAGTCGAGAATCAAGTTTCGTAATACTTGACCGCCTCCCTCCTCTGAGCTTCTCCAACTATCATCAGACATCCTCTCGTTCTCTGCCTTTTTTAACTCGTTTATAGAGTCCAACCGATATGATTATGAGTCAAGGTAAAACAAAACTCGATCAAATTCGAGTCGAGTTTCAGCATAGGTTTTTTGAGCCGAATCGAATTCGAACAGTCTATGTATCGACTCGGTTAGGCTTGATTACACCTTAGATACCCACCCAAAGTAGAATCCGTGTATGCGCCTATTGGCATCATGAAAAATGCACAGAAGAGCAGTGGAAAGGATCATTGGCATGTAAAATACACAAAGGTGGGTAGAAATTTACGACCGTATTTTTGGATGGTTTTCAAATGAAAATACCTTTTTTGCCAAACATAAAGGCTATCCTAGAACCAATATTTTTTTTCGTTTCATTTTACTTTTTTGTTTCTTAATAATTTATCAGCCACTTTTTTCTGAGGAAAGACCGACAGATACGTGGGCGAACGCCAGGACGATTAAAATTTCCTTGGTGTTTTCTCACTTCCGATCAAATTCCAAAGGGAGTAAGGGTCCGCCGACTTCATGGCCGAGTCTTAACAGATCGGACAAGGGGAACCGCACACGCACAAAAGGTTGTGAAGAAAGAAAGAAATAGAGAGGGGACGGTCAAAAAATAGGAAAACGAGGTAGAAGAAAGATCAGAATTGGCTTGAACAAACCAAATCAGTTAGTAACTGAACAAATGAAAATTAGGACAATAATCTTTTTGAAGAAACAATACCTGTAAAGCGGAGATGATCCCCAATAGGAGAAGCAGCGTTGCCACATATACCCGAATTATCTCCATTTTTTCCTAATTCGGATTCGTGACCAGGACCAGGAGGGTTTCGCCGAACGATCAATCTGCAAGGTCGTGTACGAAAGGTAATTGGTACTCGGTGGACCGCAGGCTAAGCAATATAACGTGGGAGTCGTGGGATGAGAATTGGCTATAGATTTTTAATTTTTTTTATATTTTTGGATTCTATATTGAATTTTTTGGTGTTATCTAAACAAGTAAAAAGCATCGCTCACTCCATCGATGTTTTTGTTTTTGGTATTATAGTTGATAGAGCAACATGCTCAATAATGTAGTATGCAATGGATCCTATTGTCTATTGGGCCACGATCTGCGAAAAGGAAATGCATCTACAACAGGCTACAAGATTTTTTTATGATCGCAATTATGAAAGCTGGGAGCATTTGTTTCGTGTAAGAAATTGCTTGTTGGGCTCGGACTTCGGCGTGCTCCAAGACGTAGTATTCACGAGTCCGAATCTCCTGCATACGAGAACTTTGTCCCCGTTCATTAGTGCTGTTTACGGGTCAGGTTGGGTCGGTTTATTGGCATTTTTTCAATCAATCCGATTTGGTCGATTTACCTATAAATGAAATCGAAACTGACCCAATACTAAGTAAAACCGACCTAGTTGGTTTGAATCGGTTTGGATCGGTTTTGTAAATAATTCTCTTGGTGTGAACGGTAAAGGATTCAAGTCTAACAAAGTAAAGGCTGGATGCCTGAAAATTAAAAATGATTTGGTGGATTAAAACTAATATTTTATATATCAAAAATTTTATATATAACATGTATATTTCTGACATAAAGCTGAAATATATATTTCCACAAATATATATTAAAACTGAAATATATCAGATATATATATATATATAATTGTTAAACAGTTTTGTATGCCCTTAGCTTCAATCCGATTTGATGTACTTCTGATATTTAGTATAAATAAATAAAGTGCATGTTTGATTCATGTTGTTTGGTATGATTCTGTGTAAGACCCTAAAACTGGACACTTATAGAGACTCGTGTTAGTTTAAAATGTTCATTGCCATTGGATAAGTCTGGGGGATTTATCCTGCCAAGGCTGATACT